GCGAATTCAATCCTTGCTGTGTTTGATGAGCAACTTCCTCCGTGCCGGTGAACAACCTCGGAGAAAAGTTTTCCTGATGAGTGGCTCAATCCACTGTAGCTGAGAGTGCGCAGCTGTAGCTCTGAGTCGCTGTGGTGGAGAACAACTTCACCGTGAGTGTTCTGATGTAGAGGGACTACTCTTGCAATGGATAGCTTGACTACGTCGTGTGGATATAATCATGGCTTGTAGTCGCTTTTTTGTGGGGCGACTTCAATCGTTGCTGTGTTTGTCGAGCAACTTCCTTCGTGCCGGTGAACAACCTCAGAGCAAAGTTCTCCTGATGAGTGGCTCAACCCACTGTAGCTGATACTGCGCAGCTGTGGCTCTGAGTCGCTGTGTTGACAACTTCACCTTGAGTGTTCTGATGTAGACGGTCTACTGTTGTAATGGATAGCTTGACTACGACGTGTAGATAAACTCATGGCTTGTAGTCGCTTTTGTGTGGGGAGACTTCAATCCTTGCTCTGTTTGACGAGCAACTTCCTCCGTGCCGGTGAACAACTTCACCGTGAGTGTTCTGATGTAGACGGACTACTCTTGCAATGGATAGCTTGACTACGACGTGTGGATAACCTCGCGGCTTGTAGTCGCTTTTGTGTGGGGCGGCTTCAATCCTTGCTCTGTTTGACGAGCAACTTCATTTGTTTCGACTACTCTTGCAATGGATAGCTTGACTACGACGTGTGGATAACCTCGCGGCTTGTAGTCGCTTTTTTGTGGGGCGACTACAATCCTTGCTCTGCTTGACGAGCAACTTCCTTCGTGCCGGTGAACAACTTCAGAAGAAATGTTCTCGTGTTGAATGGCTCCCACCCTTGTGGCTTCTAGTGCGCAGTTATGGCTCTGAGCTACTATATTGAAATCTGAGTTTATTCTGAGCCACTCTTGCTAAGGATAGCTTACCAAAGATATGTGGAGCAAACTCACGGCTGCCTTTCCTCGCTTGGGTTGTGCACCTTTTTCGCTACGTCCTTTAGATCATTCTCCCATGCTTGGCTAGCGATTGAACCTCGGTCTTTCCCAGCTCTTGTGTGGGAAAATGGTCGGAGAGAAGGTTCGCGAAATGATGCATTGCGCAAGCGAGGCGATCGAGATTTGAGCCGCTGGAGCCGGAACTCCAAATGAGACAGAGGGTATAACCGAAGTAGTTCTCAATCCAAATGCTTATTTCCACGATTCTCGCTTCTTTACAACTTGATCAGCACACGCTTACTTCCAGTGGTTTCTCCTTTCTTTGTTTCTCTTTTATTGATTGAATATGTAGGATCGGCTCCCAGACGGTGAAGGCAGGTTGCGGATTTTGATTGTAGGGATAAGCTTCTCAAAACTCCACATTATAGCATCGATTTCTTACTCTCTCGCAGAAGAAGTTAAATGCTCAAAATAACATACAGTACTCGGTTCCGCCGCACAGGCCTTCTTCGCACGACCCACTAAAGTTTAGTACGAACTTCAGGGCGCTGAGAAACCAATGAAGCTCAAATCATTGTGGGTGTATTCACTACCATCGAGAAAGCATCTGCTCACTTGAAAGGAGGCGCTAAAAAAGTAGTCATCTCAGCTCCATCTGCAGATGCACTATGTTCGTAATGGGTGTAAACCTCGAAAAGTACGACCTGCCAGAAACCACATTATTAGTAATGCTTCTTACACCATCAACTGTCTTGTTTTACTTGCTAAGGTTATCAACGACAACTTCACAATCATCGAAGGACTTATGACTACCGTCCACGCCACCACGGCAACGCAGAAAACAGTCGATGGCCCATCTGGAAAGCACTATCGTGATGGACCTGGTGCAGGCTAGAATATTATCCTTGCATCTACCGGTGCTGCCAAGGCTGCTGGCAAGGTTATCCGCTTTGAACGGAGAATTTACTGGAATGGCCCACTCCTGATGTCTCAGTGGTCGACCTCACGTGCCGTCTGGAGAAAGCGGCCTCAATGGATGACAATAAGAAGTTCATCAAGGCAGCCTCTGAGGGTCCAGTGAACGGTATCTTGGGATATACACAGAGGATCAGGTCGTGTCGAGTGACTTCGTCGGTGACCGCAACTCTTCAATCTTCGATGCGGAAGCTTGCATCTCTCTCAACCCCAATTTTTAAAGCTGTCAAGCTTATTTCATGGTATGACAATGAGTTTGATCATTCATGCCGCGTTGTGGACCTCATTGCGTGCATTGCCTTGAAGGGCTAAGAAAGCGATGCTCCCGGCTCTCTCACTCTCAATGAAAGTCGTGGTTTTCCAGTGTTTCGGCTATGTTAGTTGCCACTCTCTCAAGCGTACACTGCTTTATATAGATGTGCAGGGTCTCTTTCTACTTTATTTGTTTAGATTTGTAGTTGCAACCACAATTCTAACAACTACATATATGTGCAAGAACTTGCTATACCTTTATCTGAATGTAGGGGGAAGTTTATCAACTTCCTCAGCAGCTGATGGATATTGTTCTCAATAACTTCGAGAGCTTCGGAAAATCTCACTCTTAGAAGTGTTTGTGTTCCATCCCAATGTCTACTTTTAGTGCTGCAGTGCCGTTCCGTAACCTGCAGGGCTTCAAAATTCGTTGCAAATAACCATTTATTTCCTTCTTGTAAAAGATGCATGGAATTTCTGATATTTGTCATAAAAAAAGGTTGTGTAGGGACCACGTTGGGCAAGAATACATCTTATCTAAACGTTTTGTATCCTACTAGCTAGTGATCCAATGAAATGTGCGGCAAACAGTCATGAATCCATCCGTTCAATGTGTCTATCTCCTACCCGCTCATTCTGTCGCATATCGCTCGCATATCGCAAGTCCCTACATGAAAACGTGCTCCAGCTTATTAAAGGACGCAGGTTACGGTATGTTATTTTGAGCATTTAACTTTTTCGGGTGTGGTGCGGAAGGCGACAAAACCCAGCAGAGGCGAGGAAACGGTGGCCACGCCTCCAACTTGCCTGCTGTTTAGTGCTGGCCTCGAGTCAACTAGACAGATTGACGCTCTTGTGGCGCATAGGCTGGCGCGTGAATGGTGGCGATGTCCTCCTCGACTACTCTGTTTTGTCCATGAGAGTTCGTGTGCAAATTGGTAGGAGTGATCACTCAGTGTACGAAGGAAAGGTTACGTATTTCAGTGTAGAACTGTAGATTGTTTAATGATAGCTAACTGATTGCAGTGTGAGATTTCGCAGCGAAATTCGATTTCGATCATATGCTACTCACAAACCATATTTCGATTAACCTCCAGATTAAGTGAGAATAACCGAGTTGCATTAGTGTACTATGCGGTTATGTGGCTATCATTCGGATAGAATTGAATTGAGCACAATGAATGTTGCAAAGCAGTTCCTTTCAAAGCTCAAAGTAAGAGAAACCTCATTTTCTGGAGAAATGTCAACATTAGTTTGTATCTAGGCGAACCGCAAACTCGATAAAGCTTCGCGACCTATGGTCTTTGTCAATGCTTCAAGTTTTCATATTTCTGCTGTTTTGCTTGACAGTGCAAAAAAGAACACTTTATTCACAACAGAAATTGCACCAGAGTATAGGACAAAAAGGAAATGATACAATGATAAATGATATGGTACATTTTACCTGTAGGTCCACCCTGTAGGTCCCCGATGTAGAATACAACTTTACAACAAAATAAAAAATGTACTAAGTTTCCAAAGTTTTTCTGTAATTCTATTTGTTCCACATAGTCATTATCGACAATAATATCTACAAGGGACCATTATGTATTTAGAAATACTGCTTACAAGTGAGTGAAGTCATGTTAACTTACCATCTCTTTGAGAAAAGAAAAGAATCTACGACCCTTAGATAATGATATTAAAAAACCGTATAAATGCACACAAGTGAGAAAAAGCAACATCTAGCATTGATAACTCGAGCGTAAGTAGCACAATTACAGAATGCTCACATCAATGGCTCTTGAGCTCGTCTCTGTTCGAATGCACTTATGGACATCCACCCTTCAATGACAGAAAACGGTTTGCGATGTTAAAGCAGAAAAGGAGTGAGTGAGAGCGCTTACCTTTCATAAGTCCATAGCTATGGCTCACGAAGTTGAAAGCAAGGACTTTCTGCGTATATCTGAACTAAAATGAAATGAATAAGTCGCACAAACAATTTGATGATGACAAAAAATGCTAACTATGAGTAAGGCGAGAACATTCATAAAGTGATGTTGACTAAATAAGCAAATTGTAAAATGCAAAAGTAGAAAAGCACAGGACACAGGAAAAAATCATACCTCTAATGAATCAGTGGACAAGTCCTTTTAAGTCGCTCATGTATATGTACGTCTTCTATGAGGACTCCTGCATCAAACATTACTCCTGTGAGCAAAGATGTTTACACAGAACGTGAAAGATATACAACTAGTAAATGATAGATACGAACAGAGACAAAAACGTGATCGCACAAGAAACGAAACATAAAGAAAGCGTGCAGTCGCGCTCCAGTGCAAAGATTTGAATGGCTGGTTGACGGAGAACTCGGACAGGGCGTGGCCACTAGTCGCGCCCGTTCCAGGGCATTTGTCGCCTTCCGCGTGTTCCCCAACTTTTTCTCTCTCTCGCTAAAAGCCGCCACGCCCTAATGAACCAATGTAATGTCCCCAACGTCATGTCGGGATACGGTTTTTTCGCTAAATGGCGGATACCGGTGTTGTCATCAGTAAAACTCGTGACACAATTATTCGACTTGTTTCGACACTCTGAACTTTTGGGAATTAATCAATTCCATGTTTCACGCATATATGAAGAGTGAGCGGCAAATAGTTTCTAGAGCAGAGGGTATTTGTATAATTCGTTTTGAGAGTGGCTATCTGCAATATTTTGCGGAGGACTTCTGCTAGTATGTCGCGTTTAGTTTCGAAGTCTTCACTTCATCCACTTTAATGTCGTAGGCATTCGATTTACGAATTCTTGTCACTTAACTGTTATTATCAGCTTTGGACTCTCTCATGGTAGATATCCGAAGAGCTACTTCTCCTTAACTCGCGCTGTAGCATCATAACCACAGTCTTCCTCCCAGTATCAAATGACATTCTTTTTTCGCAGGTGACCCCTATTCATCTCAATTTCTTGCACTGAGTCTCAGGAGTTTGATTCTGAGCTGCTCTGGCTTCGACATTATTTGTGCTAGATTTTCCGCGTAGCTGATTTGGATCACCGTGATTTCTACAGTCCAGTTGAATAATTTATATAGACATTCACTTTCAGACATGTTGTCAGCACTGCGTACGTTGGCTGTTCGACCAACTTCTCATCTGGTCGCAAGGAGTGTATCCACTGAGCCAGCTGAAGCTCCTAAAGGAATTGGTAAAACAGGTTGGTATTTTGCCACCTTATCCCATTTTCTCCATCTTGTTCAGTGTCGCTTTCTTGAATCTATCAAAAATGTATCTTTCGTGGCTTTCTTATGAAATTATAGATAAATTAGCTTTCATCGAATAGTTCTTCATTTGGATATTCATTTGAAAGTTCTGTATCTGATACATAAATGAATAGGTGGGTACTGAATTTTTACTAAAGTGCTTTTCACTAAACTGCTGGCCCCGTCGAAACTTCGCTCAAAATCGTCCAAAAACGCTCGAATTTTTCTAACTTTTCTTCACTTTCTCTCATCTTTCCTCACACGAGAAAGTAAAGAGGAATTAGAGAGCGCTTTTGAGCGAAGTCTGGCCGAGACCCTACACTCATGAAAAGTCCACATTTTCTCTTGTCATCACATAATGAGCTTGGAAATGTAGAACAAGAGTAAAACGCATGCACATTTAGCTTCTTCTTTCGCACACGCATGCAAATTTATGATGTTTTTATATATTTGACACAGTCTACGATGATGAAAACCTCCAGATTCAACACTGTGTAACGGAACTTGAAACAGGGAGTTTACCATCCATTTCGAACAGAGAAATCTGAGATATAACAAGCTTGAACTCGTTTCCCCTTTAATTTCAGTAATAAATCATCAAAGATTAGGTACAGCCCAAGTATCACCTATTCATCCTCGTTTTTATGCCTTCACTAGTTCTCTACCTTTGGAATGGATGATTTTCAGTGGGAAGCGGTCTTTCAAAATGTGAACCTAAGGCCCCGGACAGACTTCACGCGACTTAATCGTCGCGATCTAATCGCCAAGATTTCCATTCATTTTCATTTCACATTCAAAAATTTCGGGCTGAAGAAGTATCACAACCGAATGCAAGTTGATCGGCATGGAATGGTGTTGTAACCGTTGTCTCGTCGCGACTCAGTCGCGACGATCAAATCGCGTGAAGTCTGCCCGGGGCCTAACACTTCCATTTCGGTGTAGTATAACAGAAGGAGACGCTTAGAAGTTGTGTTATATTGGAGGGTAAAAGGCTTGAAAAGCGACGAATCTGCAGAAGATGGTTCAACACACGCCTTGGAGCCGCAGCCGCTTCGCCAGAGTTTTTTGCCACGTTCGCGGCACACATTCTTGGCTTATTGCCAGCTTCTCTATACCAGTTAAACTTATACAAACTCCTCTCAGACCTGTACAGCTCGCTTAAGAACCTGCCGGGATATGTTTCGACATGGTGATACAAGCTAGATGAACAGGAAAACACTACTGGACGTGTTAGACACGGCAACTGCAATTTTTTCGGTTATCTATGATATAAAGTATTTTTGGGCAAATCAATTAGCACTTTTCAATACTCCGTGTAATGCTCGCACGTAATAGCAGCTCACATATGTATCCATATTTCTTGCTTTCAAGGAACCCCCTTCTTGCAACCATCGTCATCTGGAGAATATGCTATGGCACGAATTGATGATGTGGTTAACATGGTACAGCGTACATCGTTATGGCCACTCACCTTCGGATTGGCCTGTTGTGCTATCGAAATGATGCACTTTGCTGCTCCACGATACGATATGGATCGTTATGGTGTTGTATTTCGTGCTTCCCCGAGACAGGTTGGTGCAGTGATTTGCTATGTTCATGGGCATAAACATCTCAAAGGAGATTCGTCGTTTCAAAGCGCGTATCAGAGTCTTGTTGTTGCTGATTCATATTGTTTCTTCAACATTCCCACACTTTCCTTATGTTTTGGGTGTGTTCAACAGATCGTGCATTTTGCTTTGAATTTATGACAAGACTTGGGTAAAAATGCGAAAATGCCCAACATTTCAAGAGACTTCATCTCTCATGCGATTCCTTCAGAACGACTAACATTTTTTTCTGTAAGGGCTCGTATCAGTGCCCCAAAATAAAAAGCGTTAGCAAATTTTGCTTTATAGAGTTAACCTCTTTCGTTCAGACCGACTTGATTTTCGTTGCTGGGACGGTAACAAACAAGATGGCACCAGCGCTTCGGAGGGTATACGATCAGATGCCAGAAGCTAAGTGAGTATAGTCATCCACCATCTTTTTCGTTCCATGGCGTTTTTTGCTTGAATACTTTTTCCTTCGAAATTGTTTCTGACAAGGTCAAACTTCCGAATCAATTGTGGGTAATATATCCGACCAAAGAACTGCTAATTCGGCTTTTTTTCTCTGGTCGATATTCCTACTAATTTGAGGTCATGCGCGAAGTGAACGCTAATATCAAAGCAGTGTAAAAAAGACGTTTGGTTTTTATTTCAGCATGCCAGTCGCAACTAGTGAGTCGCCTATCTGTCATAGGCCGTTGACCGCCAGTGCTTTTGTAATTTTGGTTGGTCAAATGTATGCCACAACTTCAGTCTCTCTCTATGCATCTGTTTACTGAAGATCGCAGTTCACATGTACTATATGCGGCATACACTAAAAATGAAAAATTGCGAAATCTTGAATTTCGCAATTTTTCGAAATTTGCTTCCCCTCCTACTAAGGTATGCTTTCATGTAAGACGTGCGCAAGGCGTCAGCCATTCCCATGATTTACTGTGACTTCTACTTGCACTGACTGTAATGCAACTAGCATAGATTATGATTTTTGAATGATTTGCGTTAGAGATATATGATTTAGCCAGTCTTATGAGGCAGGATGGTGATTCATATATGCTCCGATTTTGGAGCGTATTCGCTGAAGTCTTCTCCACAGAACCACTGATTGTGCGTTAAGATACAAAGAATCATCAAATCTGTCTAATACTCTAATATAGGTACATATCGTTTATTCGTTGACCGTAACGACTGCTGACCGCGCGGCGACCGCTGCGCGTGCATGATGTTTTCGTAGAAAAGATGAATAGAAAGAAAACAGAGGATTCTTCTCATCTTTATAATGTAGAAAAGATACAAAGAATTCTTCCCATCTTAAGCCACGGTCCAACTTGTCACTTTTTCGCAAGTTTAGAAGGCACGCGTCGCAGTCGCCACGCGGTCGGCAGTCCGTAGGGTCAACGAATGAACGATACATCCAATATCCTTTTTGACTTCATATGAAGAACTTGATCGAGGTGCGGCCTTGATTTATGGTATGCAGTAGAAATTCGTTGGGATTGTAACATTTTTTTGGCCCCTGAATTTCGACTATCTGATTCTTAGCCTTTCTCTGTCATCTCAGATAAGCGAGACAAGTTATCACGTGACCAGAATTTTTGTTTGTTATCTAATGAAGTTAATCTGACGCTTGCAATGTGTGATCAGTACTGTTTTAATTGTTTACTAATCCTCTGGATTTTATGCCATTAAGTTTTCAGTGGTATTTTTACTGTCAGGTAATGTAACCGTGTGGTAAATCATCTAGAATGAAAATGCTTCAGGCTTAAACGAAAGTTATCCATCTGCATCTGGTTTCTCTTTCCGATGTAGGGACTTCTATCCGCTTTGCGAGTTCTTTTTGCAATTTTATGAGTTCTCGTGTTCAATTGGGGAGTATCAGAAGTTTTTTTTTGTTATTTTTTGATTGACCTTGGTGGGTGATAATATGAAGGTAATACTCAGTCCCCCCCCCTTCCCATTCTGAGACAGTGGCCACATGCTGGTTTTCTTGGAGGCCCTTCAGTAAAGAGATTGTTTTCCTTTTTGTCACTCGATGGCTGAGCAATGTAATGCACATAAACTTCTTTTGTCTTTTTTAGCCAATGCTTCAACAAAAACTTCTGTCTTCATTTATCTTTCATAAATAGATAACCTTTTGTGCCACATTAATTGCTCTTATTGTCATTGCATTTGACTTTCCCTGAACATGTCTCATGCTTCTCAATTGATTTACGTCGAAATGCGTCAATAACTTAATTATCCTCTTTTCCCTTTCTAACGGGGAGGCGTTAGCTGTTTGTGAAAAAGTGGTTTTTGGATTTATGGTCGTGCCATGCAAATAATGAGCTAATATCATCTTGAGTGCGACGCAAAGAGCAAAACGATGCTTTGGTTTGTCCTTCTCGCTTTTACTCCCGAAAACACCCGAAAATCTTCTTCTCTTCCCATCATCATCATTTATCTCCAAGAATAGCTTTTCCGTGAAGCAGGTAGCTGCCGTCTTAAGTCAAAGTTTATCTCCTTCAGACTATCCAATTTTGTGGCGAGTATATTTCGTATGAGAAGGGATATCGCGATGAGCTTTATGTGGCTTAGTAACGTCCGCAAGGTAAAACACTGTTTCACCTAAGTGTGCATTTCTATACACGATTCTAAAAGTATCTCGGCTGTTGCCTTCTCTGTAGGAGAAGTTTTGAGAAAGACGCCTTTTGGAAGCTGTTCCCATTATGAACATGTTGTATAGTGAGTGGATACAAAGTGAGTGGATTTTACTTTTCATGAATATCCACTTCTTGGCTGGCATGAAAACTGGTTCTGGTTCAGGAAGTTGCATATCTCTCCGGGCAAATTCATTTGCTTTTTTTTTCGAATTTTACATAAAATCTGTTGAGGTTCCACAATTTTAGAAGTGCTTCCGTTTACTTTCTTTAGGCGCCGAAATGGACTCCGTCAGCGCTACGTGATAAAGCTAATGCCATTGACAAATTTGTGTCGCTTGGATGCTGTAATTATTACAATGCAGGTCACGCGCAGCTGTGCCAGAATGGAAATAGTAAAATTTTTCGAAAGTTCTTATCATCATTACTGGTTTATTTGAAACTACGGTCGCATAAGAGGTCCCTAAAAATTCAAATTAACTTGGTAAAATTTTTTTTCAAAAGCGTTGCTGGTGTAAGGCCGTAAAAATTCTAGGAAGCTTCCAAGTTTGTCGGAGTGCGTGGCTAACGCCAGCCACCTCCATTTCGAAAAAAAAACTTTGCCCCCGCCCCCTCCCCCTACTCGGACGGAAATCCTGCGACCGTCACTGCTAGAGGTGGCATCAATCACCACAATTTTTTTTTCCCATCTCTTCTTTCATTCAGCACCGATTCTTGCAAAATCAGCTTATGGTGTAGATGCACTCCCGACCCGTCGAAGAATTTATGCTTTGCCAAATTAAGTTAGTGGCCTTATTACTGTTTTTCCTGGAATGGAAAAAGCCCAGTACTTATTTCCAAAACCGAGTAATTTACACAGAGTTAGATTTGCTTGAAAGGCTTAGAAACATGCTTGCGAACGCACGCCAATCTCCATTCCCTTCGGCTAGGCACCAATCAATATGCATGTTTTGCCCTTCCACGGGCATCAGCTCATTTCCGACTGTTATCAACGATATATTCTACTGCAGAACTTGTGCAAGTCCTGAAAAGCTACACCTCGAAGCTCCGTGTGGTCGTGACAATCGTCGCGGATAGCGGGGGTGAGACGAGAGCGAGGCGAGCCGCGAATGTTTTTCCACCCGGCAAATGACGTCACCACACCTCGCAGGGCAATCAATATTATCGATCGAAACTCGCATCTCGCCTGTAGTTTTTCGTCGCCGCGCCCCATCGGGACGTCTGTGTGTGACTTCGTGGTCTTCCAGTGTACAGATGCTTCATCGTCGAGTTCTGAGTGATCAAGGTAGTGAGTTTTTTGTCGTTTAAAGCAACAGAGGCAACATCTTGACTCATAGACGTATTTGATGATTATCGATCGGTAGTCTATTCCCCGTTCATGTCGTCGTTTGTGCTCAGTAAGCACTTACTAACATGCCTGTCTAGTTAAGCGCTTCATAAAATTCCATGCTTTCAATAGATATTGATCACATCTGCTCGATTGCTGCGGGGAGGTCTCGTGCTAGTGACGTAGATGGACGAGGACCTGGGCTTCTTGTTGACATGGAAATTAGATTAGAGCCGCTATAACGCAATTCATAGTCATTGATTGGAAGACCAGTGCAGGAGGATCGAGTCCGGTCTGAGGTGCTCAAAACCAGTTCGTGTGCAAAGAAAAATCATGGAACGCATATAGTTTTATGGTCGGCATATGTTCTCACAATGCGAGGTGCTACTGTATTGATCGTTAGCGATTGTTATGTTCTCTGAATTATAAAGAGCACGCACTTTTGTCACTCTCAAATAATAATTTATATATGACTTTTTTTCGAAGATTTGATTGCTTTGGGGCTAGTGCTTCATTGGAAACGTATCGACTTTATTCTTCTGCGCTTTTTCTCCGTCATTTGGTTTTAAAACTTGCCTAATCCCTCCAGAAAAACTGGTCCTTGTACTGGTTTGTGGTATGGAAACTAGTAGCTCTGTGGTGTGTTTGCACAGGAAAATTATTGCAGCCCTATGGAACAACAGCTGAGGAATAGTATGCGCATTGACATCTGCATCTTTGAATAGTTTTCCATTACTTGTTCAAAAGCTTTGCTTCGATATAGTCAGAGATATTTCATCGGCAGTTTGTGTCTGTTCTCTGGAATAATTTGTCAAATTTCTGCTCAGCAGAGCTTTTGTGGAAGAACCATTCTAGGATCCGTTTTTGGTTTTCTGTGTGATTTATTACCATTGCAGATGGGTGATTTCTATGGGCTCATGTGCAAATGGCGGCGGATATTACCACTACTCCTACTCAGTGCTTCGTGGATGCGATCGTATAATTCCGGTTGATATATATGTTCCCGGATGTCCGCCATCTGCTGAGGTATGTTTTATTTAGTTGCTAGCGAATAATTCTACCAGCAGTTTCAATTTTCTTTTCTTGTTTTTATTCGACTTATGGGGAACAGGTTTTAGTAATTGCTTTTGAAGAGACTTTTTAATGGCATAGCTATAACGGAACTGGTTGTAATCGATGACTTAGCTTTGGCATAGCGATGAAGTTTTGAGGCTGAGTAGGGGAAGGGAGGATCAGGAGATGCGAGAGCTTAAGAAATTTGCGCAGTCAGCGCTAGTTCTTTCTTTTAGTGTATCGGCTTGGAGTGCTGATTTTTGCTAGTGACTCTCTATTCGGTGGATCACCTGCTGCTTGCATTTGGATATTTTTCAAATGATAATCTTGTGCATGAATAGTCGATATTTCCGTCATAGTTTTGGTCAAAGGGCATGTTTAGTCGAAATACCAACTCTTTTACAAGAGCACTTGTTTTTTGTCGTCATTATTCACATAGCCTGAAGTTTTGTGCGGAGCATTATCAATCCAGTGTTAGGAATGTTTTCCGGACAATTACTAAGAATTTATAACCCGTCTTTTTGATATTTTCCGGTTTTTCAGTCATTTGCTGAAGGAAATCACGAACTCTTTGGATGACGCCACCAACTTTTTATTACTGTTGTTTATCGAACTTGCACTTGAAAGGTTCTTTAGTCAAGAGCTATACTGAATCCGTTGCCAAAATCAAAGAAGATACTGACGTTTGTCGAATAACATTACCATGTTGAAAAGCTGAATGTGCAGTTTTCCGCATAGCATTCATCTTTCATTCTAGGCGCTTCTCTATGGTGTTCTGCAGCTACAGAAGAAAATCAAGCGGAAGCGTGAAGCTCAACTATGGTACAGACGTTAAGCGGAGTTCGTCGAAGTGCCTAGGGCTGCAACATGTTGTAAATTTTCGTAGTAAATACCTCGTGTATGTTTAGTTGCTACCTCCTGTATGTGTTTATATATATGCGGGATTTTATCTATGTTTCGAGGTTTAGAGCTTATAAAGTTTAGACATCCTTGAAGTTTTGTACTGTTTACAGAGGTGTTGAAGCCGGAATTTATCAGTTGGTCTTTGTTTATTACATGCATTCTGTGTTGCAGACCTTCCAATATGCTTGTCCTGTATTTCTGTCCTTCTCAGCCTTTCACCTTATCCTTCCATTTCTTCACAGTATTTCTTTCAGGTCTTACCTGAGTCATTTTTCATGTTACCAGAAAACTATTGCAGGCTGTGAATGCACTAACGGCAGTTGCGACATTGTCGTTAGGGTATTTCCTATAATATAGATTTATAAAAGGAAGCACATATACAGAAGATGGATCGCGAAGCATTCCCGCCGTCTGAAATTCGTCATCTCGAGGTGAGTACCTTTTGACATTAAACTTGGAAAATTTTCTCAGAATTCGGTTGCAATCACTTTGTAAGCCTGAATCCGAGCAGCAAAAACAAATACGCAAGATCTTGTGTGATTTGGCTCGTATCCGGGTATGAGTATCGACATGCTGTAAAGTTTTGGATGTCCTGCAAATTGAAGTGAGGGGTGATGGAGAACATACAATCCTTCCTATAAGGATGCAGCCAGTTGGTGTGAGGTTTGATGAGACAGTTCTTACCTCGAGAATGAGGTATTAGATCTATTAGATCACCTTGAAAGGGGATTTTATTCATGAGTAGGTCATGCTTTGAGTTTACACCTCATCGGCTGCCTTATCTCCAGTGTTCCCCTAGCTGGTTAGTGCTTGAAACAACTACAGCTAATGAACACGGTTTTGTTACCTCTAGCTGTGCAGTGAGGCAGAAGTAAAAGCTTCCTCTCTTCGGAGTAGGAGCGACTCGAACATAGCCAAAGTGAAAAAAAATTCTCCTTGTCTTCCCAAATAGAGATTCATCGCTAATTGAAGGTATCGTAACATTCTTCATCGCAACTTTTGATATCAGGAACTGTTAAATAATTAATGGTCCACTTTTGCCTGCCGCATCTTTTCAATCATTACTGCAGGCGCTAAATGCAACCTCAACATGATTCTGCTTTTTACTAAAATTATGTCGCGATTATAGGTGAATGCACAAAATTTTTGCATACCAAAGTGCTCATCTGCGCATCGGCTTTCATTTGCCATTCCACATAAGCTGACCAAAGAAGAAAAAGTGATTTTGCGGGACTTCTTTCGAAGAGGTTATGTGGCATGATGATCGATCAGTACATTTATTTGGCGCTATTAACGTAATTTTTTGAGTGGGGTAAGTACATGGAGGGGATCGAAAGTCCAAATTCTGTTTTGGTCTAGAGGGTAACTCAATATGCCGCTTCTATATGTCATACTTGTTTTGCATCTTGGGGCCTCTTTGCGGATATACGTTCGTAAATCTGCCTGATACTTGTGTAGGGGGGAGGGGTGGTAACTCACGTAGTGACGCGCTTTTCACATGGTAAAGACTTTCCGTTTATGTTTGGGATCTAAATTTAATTGGGAGTCGGAAAACCTGTCTTTACCACAACTTTGCAAAGGCGTTATTGCAGTGAACGAGCAAGATATCGTAATCAGCATGCTGAGTAAGCATCCTAGACCAAAGTTCAGTAGAGTGTGTGATATTGGTCTCACAGTAAAACCACCGTAATCACGCGTTATGACTCTTTTCAGCGAAAGGCACGCGCAATACTTGTTCCTCTCGATCCGCTCGATCCGCTTCATCATTGGTCAATACACTGAACTGACCAATAGTGAAGTGGGTAGAGGACTATATGTCGCCGGAAAAGGGCGGTCCCCGCAGTCATTTGCGACAAATCCGCAACCTTGTACATGCGCGGACATGCGTTCCTGCAGGGAATCCGCGCGGGACTCTTCCAAATTCGGCGACATATAGTCCTCCACCCTATTGAAGTGGATGAAGCGGATCAAGCGGACAACCGCCTCGTTATTGGTCATTTCACTGCATCGACCAATGATGAAGCGGATCAAGCGGATCAAGTATGGCGCGTGCCAAAGAGCATGGCATTTGTGATCAGCTTTTCGATTGGTTCCACCTAACTTGAGAAAATGGCGATACTTCTTGAAAATTTTCGGGCAGTCCGCCTTGTGACACCTACCGTAATCCTACCATAGCTCTACCAGACAGCGCGATTGTGCGAAATTGATCTATATTGTCAACATGCCGAATAACCGTCCCCAACGAAGTTTCAGCAGTTAACTCACATTCTTTGGGTCAGCTAGTGTATAGTATAATATATTTTTCCCTTTACTATTGGTTTTTTATGTCCGAATCGTATGAAAGGGACGTTGAGTTGCATGTGTCTAGTTTTGATCGCTCTCGGAAGTCCCCATTCGAAATATGGCCTCATATAGACAACTTGTCATATTGTGAGCAGCAACAGTCGCCTACCAGTCTCTAACTGTCATGCGTATAGTGGGGCTAGGTGGTGATGTGGCTGACTTGCATACCTAAATAAGAAGATCGTTTAGCAATCACTTCACACCAATAGATTTCGTTTCTCCATCGCCTTTCATATCTCGCCCTTAGGCTCTTCGAGTTTGGGCAGTTTAGTCAAGGTTACAGTTGCCAACCTAGACCGGACTCGGTCAGAGAGTTTCTGATTCTTCACTCACAAAGGTTATTTTGCTGGTTTTGTCGTTAGCATACTGTGGCTTACTAGAATTCTAAGTGGAATGTATCAAGTACAAATTTGTCTAGTCTGACAACTGTATCTTTGGAAAGGGAACAGTCGCAAGAGGCTGCGTCTTGTACACGTATGGATAGGGCTGCTAATTAGAATGTTGGCGGATCAACTCTACGTGTCTTGCAGTTTATCGAATGCTGTCGATTTCAAAGTATATTAAGGTTGATTTCCGAGCATTCCTCTTAGCAGCACCATATCATGACGTATCCATTTTCCCATGCTTACTGTATATGTATGTTTAGAGTTACCAATGTTGTTTATCATCACTGTTGTCCATTTTTAATTTATAGTGGTATAAGGTATCGTTGAATAGAATGAGTTGCGGTAAGCTCAAAAGGGATTCAACGAAGCATTTTTCTTGCCTGAATACGATGTACCTTTCACAGTAGGCGCTTGTTGAGCCGGGTGTAGATGCTTCTTAATGAATTTCGTTTGTCAGTGCAGTGTTCTCCGTTTGATTTCGTTGTATCATTTTTGTCACTCTTTCACTGCAGACTGTATCTTGATTTTCTCAGAGACCTCTGTATCTAATTGTATACCATGATCTATATTGAGTAGTAGACATGTGATTGTTGCCGAAAACTTACATATAACTTACCGAGGTATTGAGGCCGTTGGTAAGTTTCAAGGGTGTTGTATATTCGTATTCTTCTTCTCTTTTAGAGCCTGATAGCATCGATGCGAGTGAATGAACTGCAGACAGTTCTGTCTATGTTCAAAATGCCAAAACTGGGAAAGAAACAAGAATTGATCCAGCGGTGTACGGACTTGTTACGAACACCAGCGTTACAAATACAAGTAGCTAATCAGGTAATCACACTGACCGTCTTCGGGCTAAGCTTCATTGAGTTCGTTTCGTTTTTCAGGTAAAGATACTAGTTGGTAAAAATAATAGTCGAGCTGCACCGTACTCGGTACCTATCAGGTTAGTAAGAGTATCCACGTTACAGTGATTATGGGAGCTAGGAGTTTCATCATCTATTTAGCTGTCTGTTTTGAAAATGCAGATTAACTGCTTTGGACAAATTTTTGTTTATCACTGTGTGAAAGTTAGAATTTTACCTTCGTCTGAAAGAATGCAAGAAAACGAGTGCGTTTAAAAATGGCCATTTCACTTGTGTAGCCCAATATTTAGAAACCTCAGGCTTGAACATGGTCCGCAAGTAAAGTGCCAAATTTGCAGCATGAGGCCAATGCTCTGCGTTTTGAAGACAGTTCACCATGTGTATTTTCGAACCGTCTCAAGTTTCTCCATACTTTTTGATTTACCACCTTGTGAAAGCGTTACCTACAAAAAAGTCTGCAACTTTAGAGCACCAGCTACACGCCATTCTGACAGAATGGTTTTACGCGGAAAACCTGAGTACAGTACCTGCAATGCACTCCCTTCACTTGATCCATGGTAGGCTCAGAAATCGATTGGCTCACATGATTGAGCAATTTTGACAGCGCTTGTGGTATTGAGTACATGCTCTGTGTAGTCGGTTCAAACCTTGTTTTCTAGTGCGAAAGGTGTCACCAGCCTTTTTTTGTCATTTGCTCGTAATGCTTCCAAATGATTGGTGATTTGCAGAGCTAGGTTATTATCTTTTGAACGCTTAACTCATTGGGGAAGATGTGTCTCTAAGCTCTACCACCGTGTTATCATTTGTACTCTATATGTACTACTGGTGTTTCGGATTTGGATCAGTAAGCATTTCTTGGCTGAAAGAGACGTGTGGCTTTGTTTTGCGCTACCATCATCACCATAAATCAAAAATTCTGTGATTAGCGATCTACGGTGTGCAATTGTATTAGCACGTGTGCTAAATTGCACGCCTGTAGGAGCCTGGGTCATTGCGCTACAGTGTGATGGTTAGTATAGTTATAACGAACGAAAATTTTCGTCGAATGAACGATAATAACTGATTTTTGAAAAAGTTCGAATGAATGAATGTCGAATAATTGATTTTCGAATGAACGAATATTGGTCGATTTCCGATTTTTTTCATATCCAGAATTCGAATTTTCGAATATACAAATAACCGAACTTGATCGAATATTCGACAATTCGAATAAACGAACTGGTTATCATCGAATATTCGAATGCAACATTCGAACATTCGCATCGAATATTCGAATATTCGATTAAGTTCGTTTGAGCTATTTTTCCGAGTTGTCGAATGAATGAATTACTCGAGTAAAGATCCTTTCCATTTATTCGACTATTCGATTAATCAAACAATTGGATTTTTTGAATACTCGACTATACGAATATCCGAGTAGTCGAATATTTTGAATAATTTTTTCGAATACGAAATATTCGGTTGCAACTATAATGATTAGTGTCAGACGAAGGTCTCCCTTGTAAGCGAGTCATGCGCGACTCGAGCTCCAATGATGAAAATGCTTGAATACGCCGTTCGCACCTGCTTCGTAATACAAACTTATTATCTTCGTCAGGGATCAGCCTTTAGGCATGCTCTATATCTGTTCACTTAGCTGTTTATTCACTCCGTGATTGGCAACTTGATCTGACCAATTATGAAGTGGTCCAGCGGCTAAGGCCTCGGGCAGCGTTCATGCGATTTGATCGTCGCGATTCAATCGCTACTACTACAAGACAAGTGTTACGAGTTCATCGCATGCCGATCTGCTTGTATTTCGTTGTGATAGTTTCCCAACACGACTAATCGTGACCAACTATCATAACCGAAATACAAGCAGATCGGCATGTAATGAACTCGTAACACTAGTCTTGTAGCGATTGAATCGCAACGATCAAATCGCGTGAACTCTACCTGAGGCCTAATCGGTTCAGTCTGGCGCCTGCATCAGTGAACCCTGAGAAACCGGCATCAGCAGCGTTGTGTATTAAAAATTGTATGAGCCGGTTCGCCTGCCATAAGCTTGAGATTTCATTTGGAATGCCCCAGAAGCTTGTGCATCATGGTGCTGAGGCAGTCATAAACTGGCTGGTACAGCCTATAAACCTGTAGATAACTGACTGTCGTTTGCAGCGCACGGAATGACGGGCATCTGAGATTTAGTGTCGCTTATGAGTTTAGTGCGCTGCTATGCCCAATGGGTTCGGACGTTAACTTTGAGCATACAATCGTCCTCATTTTAGTAGTCAACTTTTGGACAACCAAATTTGGATTGGAACACACCGGTTGCTGTGAAGAGCGGCCTCAATCTAAGTTGTGACATGCATGACTCTAGCTAACAATAAGTGTAATGCTATTTACAAGACTGCTAAACAGTGAGACTTTACGCGAAATTGGTCGTACAGTCATTGGTGTGCAAACTCATGAGAATGAGCTCAAACTGTAAGCCATTAGTCTGTTAGACGCGCTTAAAGCTGTCAACTTTTTATAATCTCTCATTGCGTGTGTGAACAAGCTAACAATAAATGAACACGTCGCTTTTCTTGTTTAGACTATGGACTTCGATTCTACATATAAGAATCCTTATGCATACTCACTGAATGCTGCAGACAAGTTTAAAATCTTAAGTTACTGGTTTTTGCTCAACTTTTATTTTCAAGAGAAAGTTCGAGCCATGGGTTTACATGTTTTTGTTGGGCCAAGTTACTTACCGTTCGTTTGGAGACTAAGACTCCGCCTGAAACTGGTTTGCACTCATTGTTTAACAGGCTTGAACTTGTGTTAACACGTCATACATGCAGTCTATGACATCGAGCATTATTCAGTGCTTCAGACAACAGGTTAAACACAACTTCAAGCCACGGCTCGGCACAGGTGGCTTGTGAGCCAGCTGGTATCGTTTTTTGGGACGAAAAGCAAAGGGGGTTTCGTTTTTGTGACCGAAGAGACACGGAAAAATTGGCGACGGCGACCTTTTTTTTCAGTCGACGTTTCGTTTTTTGGGGGATTTTGGGGTATTTCTCAGGTTTTTAGAGGAAATTTGGTTGAGGGTCAAAGGGGACTTCGTAAAAATTCCCAAAAGTCAAGGGGGACTTCGTTTTTTCCATTTTCATCTAGCCACCTCGTGCCGAGCCCTGCTTCAAGCATGTTGAGACAATGGGTGCAATGCGGTTTTGAGTCTCTTGGTCTTAGAGTAAATGATAGCTGGACCAATTGGTATCAGCTTTGGGCCTTCACTCAAATTTCATAAGTACAAGACGCATTTGATTCTTTCTAAACTCAATCAACCTGAACACACCAAAAAATCCCGAGGTCAAAAGATCGTCTACTGTGCTGCTTTTTAATTGAAAGATTTGTGTGGGATAGCGACCACCTCGCGAAGCCAGTGGTGTGGTCGAGCTGCTTGTTTAAAAAAAATGCGTCTTGTACTCAAATTAGGGTACCAGAAATCATGAACGTCAGTTTTTTTTTCCAAACGGGGGATTTGTACAATATCTGTAGGTCTACATGTCGGTGGATTTGGGGCCGTTGCTGGCGCATTGAGCTTTCTCGACTTACTTTCTTCTGACAAACGCTGTTCTGCTACCAGAGATGTTACATCTACCTGAAGCGATTTTGAGAAGTACAGGGATTGCGGAATTGGTCTGACAGCCTGCGTGAGCAATGGTTGCAAACTCACCGACATTCATGATCCAGCAGAGTCCTGTACTAAAGTGACTACAAACATTTGTATTTCCTACTTCTGCTCATTGTAGCGGTAGCTTTAATTTCGTGGTTTGTTCACTTGCGATTGTCTCTTTTGCACGAACTTTGCGACACTATTTTCACAATATCGCATCGCATTGTATATATCAGCCTCAACCCAAAATAGGCTATTTGTTACATTCTTTTACATTGGTCTTGCTTGCTGCGCTACGGGTTGAAGGATGTTCATACTCACGACTTAGCTTGTCGTTGCAGGAACTGCCTGCCCAACGGTCTGATGATGAATGGTAATACTGGGTACGGCTATCGCCACGGTACCAATGCGCAGTTACTGCATCAGATGCAGTCAAACACTCTACATCAGCAGGTAGGTGTCCTCTACCAACTGGTCTTTCTTCAACTCATTCATTGTCATTAGCAGTGCTTTTACGTCAAGTCGTGTAATTATTTTATAGGCTCGGGTACTGCGAAATTTAGTGCCGATTCCGCTTCCTTTTTACGATTGGCACAAGACTGTGCTGGAACCTATGGAACTGCCACCTATCATGTCGGGAGTGAAGACTCCTTGTAAGGTACGCTGGAGAGTTTCGTATTGTTTTTGTGGGTAAAGAGCTCCATTTTTAGCAAACCTTCACATTCCTGTTGCCTAGAGAGTACTTTTTAAATTGGTCGTCCAACACTACCCCACTACCCCGATATGAAATGCAGCTTAGGTAAGTTAAATGATGTTATTTAAGGCTGTCCAAGTATAATAGTTTCTTGGTAGTCAGTATGCGTCATTATGGCTTTTGCAAACCATCCAACAAATTTCCATTTGACTCCGTGGCCGCCAGCTTATCTTGTCCCTGATACAGTTAGTTACAGTATCTTTCAGATTTTTCCAAGTGCCTGATAACTACGCCTCCCAAGAGTTACCGGATGATTTTCCCCTCAACTGTGTGGCGCGAGTAGAGGAGCAGCATGTCAATTTACCGGTAGGTTATGAACTATCGGGTCATTTCACAGTGCTACTAGATTTTCAACTACTCACTTATCTTTCAGGCTCTTATCCCTACCAACAAGCCAAATGTGGAACCGAAACGACCATCGCGTCCTGTGGATATAACGCAATACTGTTTGAATGTTCGAGATTACAGTCGACCGATGCGCTTGATGGTGGAATGGACTGGTGACAAGCGAACGTGGGCAGTCGCAATTTATCTGGTGCGGTCAAGCATCGATTTTGTAGTATCGATGTAATGACAGTATTTCTTGTAGGTTTATCGAGTGACTTCCGAAATTCTGCGAGACCGCGCAACGGGTGCAGTCAAGGTAAATGGTGAAAGCAATAACGAACGGCCGGTATGTTATTTCGTCTTTTCTCTGGTTCATATGATTGTACTTGATTGATTTTCCAGAATCATCGCCAAGAAGAAAGCGTCACAAGGAATCTTATCCGAGCACGGTTAGGCGGTGGAAATGACGATGACATAGCAATGGACCAACTCAAAATTAGTCTATTATGTCCGGTACGTTTCTTTGAAATGAACTGTCAGAAGTTCGCTGAAGTACCATATGCATGTCCGACATGAGCAACGTCTCTTACATCTCCACACTACGCATCTATCTGAACAACTAAGGCTTGAATAGATCAAAGGGGATGGGTGTAGCTAGTTTCTTGAGAAGAGTAGAACCTCTGGTAATGCCAATCCTAGGTCAAGCGCTGCACGCGCATCATTCTTTTTCCTTTGCGGAGTGTTGACTTTTTTTTATGACTTCGAGGTTTGAAATTATGGGGAATATAGGTTGAAAATCTGCTTGGACACTGCAATTGAGGTCGACGATGTTGAGCTGAGGATTAAAAGATATCGCATAGCCTATTTTAAGACCATGATTAAAAGCATATCACATCATCATGAGAACATCGATAACTTTCCTGATGCTGTTTTTGCTTTCTAAAATGGAGGAAGGAACTTGTTTGAGTTGTCAGTGAACGTCGATTCCATGCCTAGGGCTTCTTCGAGGATCTCAGTAGCGTGATAATGAATGCTATCTTGTGGAAACAAGTGAACATGGTTTTCTCCACAATCGTTGATTCTCCCCAAAATTTTTCCTCTTGCTCGCTTTTGAGCATTTTTTTCATATATTCATCGATCTGAACTGAGCTTTGGGGAGACTACAACATATTGCACTTTATGAATCTCCAGATAGCATTTTCACAAGGTCAAGGCATTTCGGAGAGCATTAGTCTATATCGGCGTTGTATTCTTCCATTTCTACTTATCTACATCAGTTCAAATTTCTCTGACCGAGTATATATCATGAAGGTTATTAGAAGTTGCGACCTTTGAAACTGGTAATCTGCTCCGAATTGGTTTGGCGTTTGCAACAGTCCCTCCCTCCCAACGTTGCTCTCAGCGGTCTTCTACTATACTCATTTACGTTTGAGAATTTCTTTGGAATGGTGTCAGATAACCAGCTGAGCTGCATGCAAGCGGATATCATAGTTCTACAGACTTAGATAGCTCAGCATGATTAAAAGTAGTCTGCCTTTGGGATATTTCCATCATTGAGGTGTAGATCAGTTCATCTTCCAAGTAGAATATGATTGAGTCGGAGTAATCCAAAGCTGTAGATAAGAGGCTTTGGGCCTTGCTGCAGACGTAGGTGGATGAGGAAATGCCATTTTTGTGATTGCAAGTATTACCTACTTTCGTGGGTGTGAGCTGCTCAAGAAGTATATCATGGGCACATATCCAGATAATGATGAATGGCGAGGTGAAGCATCCGCTGCTAGAAAAACACAAGATCATCTTTGATGCCTAGTGTGGGCCCTAAGCTTCGTCTATCCTCTTATTTTACCCGTCTTCGACTAACATTCTGATCCAACTGATGGACAGAACCTTGATCGGAACAAACTGATAATGATTAATGGCTGTAAAAGATAATGATCCGGAGAGAAACGATAAGGCTGACGAACCAGTTTTGGACTTGGTCTTTCATCCTTGTTTCCGGTGATCGCGGAATAATCGAACCACTTTTGTCGATGTGGTGCTAATTATAGTTGCGCTCAGTGATGTTCGTCAAGGAGAGAGACGAAGAAAACGGGTGACGAAATCAATGGTTTTGCATGAATTCCTCACTGAGAAATCTAATACACAGTCTTTTTCAATCCGGAATAGGCGAAACATTCCAAGTGGAGCAACGCGTCTGCACTGCCACGGCTCAGCGAGATAGATTAGAGTGAAGAGACGCAGACAGCAAAACGACGCGAATTGTCGCGAAGCGGATTCCCGCCAGCCCAATTTCCGCCTAAACTGAGTTGAAAGGGGTAGGGGAACGAAAGCCGCCAGTTTGGGCCGCCTCCGCGGACTGCTGGTCCTGGGACGACATGCAACAACACTGCGAAAGGACCAGTTGGCCGCGGAAGGCGGCTCAAACTGGCGGCTTTCGTTCCCCTACCCAGTTGAAAGTTACTATACAAAGAGTCGTAACGCCAATTCAAGAAAACATCAGATAGGCACGCGCCATACTTGATCCGCTTAATCCACTTGATCCGCTTGATCCGCTTCGCCATTGGTCAATTCAGTAAACTGACCAATAGCGAGATCAATCGGATCAAGTGGAAAAAGCGGATCAAGTATGGCGGGTGCCATAGCGGGAAACTGCAGCGGGTCCTCAAGCGAACGCTCCTGCAATTAGCACCTTTAGATTAATGGTTTACTAGTATTCCATAATCAGCTGTCATTGCTTTGATTGTGTGACGGTCATGAATAGATCTCAAAAATAACGGGATACATGAAGTTGTTAGGGAATTCGTTAAGTGGATGTCGAGGTCGTAAGGATATCTGTGGAAACGAAACGGATTCATCCAAGAACGGAGAGCTACAGCTTGTTTTGATATCATAGTAATGGGGTGGAGAACCTCGGAATGTTTCGCTCCTGTACGCATCTTCCTTTGCTTTATTCTTGTGCATATCAAAAACCTCCCCCCCCCTCGCCCTGATATTAGTGAGGGCTATTTTGCCGTAATTGTTGCTAGAATAACAAAGAGTCATGCTCTACCGCATGATGACATCCAGCTAGGTGGTATCGATACCGGTTTCCATTTTGGATGCTTATTGTCAGTAAGCTCTTCAGCATGACTGCAATAAAGTACAAAATGATATGAAACTTTGTCGGATATGGATGTGAAGCACACGGATGCTTAAGTTGTGTGATAATGCTTTTCGGTTTCTCTCAATAACCTCCTTTCATGTACTTGATTTTTCACTTTTTTTAATAGTTTTTTTTTAGCTTTCTCGGACGCGTATCAATTTACCGGCTCGATGTAAACTCTGTCATCACCTGCAATGTTTCGATCTGTACAACTACTTACAAATGAACGAAAGGCGGCCGACATGGCGTTGTCCTGTTTGCAGTGGCCCAGCACATTTCAAGAATATCATCATTGATGAGTGAGTTTTGACTTTTTTTAACTTCTTTTTTAGTTTAGTCTAATTTTTTTGGTAACATCTTTTCGAATGAAATTTGTCATCCTCTTGATTGTGCTATCCCCTTGCTTGCTAGCTTGCAGCTACCGGTCACATCGTAACGTAGATTTTCACATCACCGGCTCACAAACGTTGGTGGTGCTGTATTTGCTTTGCGTGTAGATGGCCTGCGAACATTTTTTCCACATTGCTGTTTTGTTATTTCGCAATGATGGTGGCCACCATCATTCATGTCGCCGTGTGTTTGCTTTGAATTTGTCTGTTCGAGTGACCAATAGCGTAGGGGAGTGAATGTAGCACGTGGATAGGGTTTCATACCTAGAAGGGAAAAGTAGGGGTGGTCTATGCAGTGGAAAATCATGCAAATATCTGTTTACGAAAATCCCACGTGAATATCAAGCTTGTGGGGTTTTTGTCTGCCTCTGCTCCCTTGACCGGGAGCTGCACAAACTCATCATCTGAATTATCGCGTCAGCCACTTTCTATGATTTCCCATTCGTGTGTGCCTGCATTTTGCACGTTTACGGCCATCTCATCGCATTTGCTTGAAAATTCACATACGTCTGTGAACGTGTATCCGCCGCATGCACGCTAGCATCACCATGGTGATTGCCATATGCAGGACCTATCGTCAGTCTGATGCTGGGTTGGATTGGATGAGTTGCTCTAAACAGGAAAAAATGGATAATAGCTCTCTGACGTCAGATGGTCAAGTTTAGTGAAGGAGCCTTTTAGAGATTTAGTTCTGATGTAAAATGAGTAAGGCTGCTAAGAGAATGTGAAAGTATAGAGTATTGAAAGCATTTATGGCTGTTCGGTAGGATTGAAAGCTACATACTTATTTTTTTCTTTTCAGATATTTTCAAAATATGCTCGCCAGTGTCGACGCCGAGACTACTGAAGTAGAACTTCTGGTCGATGGCTCTTACAAAACTGTGGAAAATAATGTTGTCGATTTGGATGACGAAGATGCCCCAACAACTACTGGAGCTGGGGATACCGCCGCATCAAGTGGGACTGGCACACCATCCACTTCTGCACCCCCTTCATCATCTCATCATAGGCCGAAAAGTCATGAGGAAGAGGTTATAGGTATGTGTATTCGAGTTGTAGTACTGGGTAGAAATAATTCTTGTTAAGTTCTCTCTGACTCGGATGATGAGGATGAGGCAGTCGAACAAGCGATTCGCAATTCTATAGCAGAATCCGAACGCGCCGCACCCGCACCGAAACCGGCAAGCCCTACGCCTCGATCTAGAGACAGCTCTATAATAATAATTGATGACGAAAGCCCACCTCGACCTGTTCAAAACAAAGTGAGTAATCGCGACATCTGCAGCTACGCATCTCAACATTTCTCGATTCAGACTTGCAATGGGTCAAGCTCGTCTACGTCGACACTTTCACCTCCGAGCACCTCTGCGGGTACTTTGCCATCGCCACTCATGTGTTCTTCACCGATAAGCACAAATGGAGTAATGGCGGCTAGCCGGTTAGCCGCTCCACCGTTACACAGTGTATTGGCTGGACATGTGAGTGTTACACTACCTTGATTTGATATTTTTTGATTTTCCTTTTAAATTCTTTTTTCTATTTCAGCAAAATCTTTACAATAGCACGGCGCCCCTATCATACTACCACCAGTCTCAGTGGAGTCAAGCGGCCTCCAGACCACAATATCCGACATCCCAGTCACAGACCTCTGCCGCACTCAACGCCGGATCAGCCTTCACCCTCTCTTACAAAGCACAGCCTCCTCCACCAATGAGCACACTATTGGGACGATACAACCCAACTGCATCTGCGTTACCATTCGGTTGTCCAAATCCAACACAACCCACTCAAACGTCACATTTTGGCGGTGGCGCAAATCTGCAACAAGTGCTGGCGTCACTTGTTCAGCAAAGCGCATTTGCTAATGGTACAGGTAGTAGTCCCGGTTCTACTAACTCATCTCAGTAATAATGGATCATCCCAGGTTTGTGGGAAATTTGATTTGATCCTTGTTTTGTGGGATCCTACGATTTTCTTTGTTTCTGTCGGTGTCATTTGAGCTTGTTTAAACATTAGCGCTTCAATATCCGTTGATTCTCATGTTTTTCGATGGATTAGTTTTTGCTAGATAGGGTTTGTGTGATTATGCTTGTTCCGAGCTGCGTCGGGTGCAACTAGCTGTAAAGTAATTGGGATTGTCGCTTGTTTTACATATTGTGTCCAGGTTTTTAGAAAGCGGTAATGGGTACCCGGATTTTTTACATGTAAGAGGTCCTGACACATGCTCAGCAGCAGCTGATCCATTCATGGTGGAACTTCCATTTTAAACTTCAACCAGACTGTACTCGTTGAGAGTCACTTAGCATTTTGGGGTACGGTAATCGAGAGTTTGGATCTGGATTTCTCGGTCAAGAAAGTCATGCGGCTTTTACTGGAGCAGTGTCATGACCTAGTTAGACACCGCATTTAGTTTTCACATTTGAAACACAGTGTACTGTGGTACGAGCGACAAACTCAGCTTTACAAGCTGATCGTATCCGGCGCGCCGCGGTCACGAACTTACGTCGCAATGTGGTAGAAGTGTCAAAGGTTTGACTCAGTCATTGTACTCGTTTTTTTTCGTTCATAGACGTTTTCCTACACGAATTGTTTGTACCTCGCTTGGCAATGTAAATCTGTATCGCTATGATTTTGTGTACAGTCTGCATCATTTCTTACATCTTCTTTTACCGCTTCGTGAGTTCGCGTTGCGGCTTTGCCCCGGAACGCAAAATTTTTGCACAAAAATTTACGCAAATGAAGCGACCCATTTTTAAAGGAGTTTCGTTTGAGAGAACAGAATACTTGTGTATGCATGTGAACTTGATATGTTTATGCTCGTGTGTGTTGTTACTTCTTTTCTGCTTAATTCCCTTACAAAGATTTTCTTGTTGGTGGTCAGCACCCTGTGCTAATCCCGCTCTATACAGAACACGTGTATCTTGTATTTATTGATTGATTTGATGATTTTTCCATGAGACTATGAAGAAACTGATTAGTATATATCTTAAGCGTGTACACTCTTTTTTCTTGTTTACATGTTACTATCGTGAGTATAAAGAAAACTTTTCTTGAGTTTGTTCTTTTTTCTGATAAACTTTATATTAGTATTTTCATAAAATTTCCACACTCGCACATAATACGTACTGGACAACAACGAAGAGCATCGACAAAAAACAAACCATAGATAGTTAATCGGTTCTTTTTTGTATGAAATTTACAAGTATGGAAGTGGATATACAATGTGATTAAATATATAGAAAGGAGACTGAAAATAACAACATGCTGACAGAGGAATTTAGAATCGTTTCAAGGAGACTTAGTACAATAATAGGAAACCGGGATGCAATATGTTGTGCTCTGGGGGCGTGGCTTAGAGTTGGGACCGGGAGAACTTTAAAAAAAGTTGTGAGACGAGATTAGCAATTTAGGTGCACATTTCAATTAGATATAAGCGTATCGAATGAAAGTAAAAGAGAAAGAGAACAGAATGGACGAAAAACAAGGAGAACAAATAAAATGGAACACTGCGCTAATCTTGAAAGGGGTAGGGTTGGCGAAAAGCGGTAAATTTCCTTGTTGCTAACGGGGTTTCGTTAATTATATCTAGATTCATTCTGCAAGATAATTTGGTCTTCTAAAATTTTGAACAAGTATAGACGAGTCGTCACGCAGAAAGTGGACACCGTCGCGTCCGAGACAGTTCCTGTTTGGAAGAGACAGCAGACGGTAAGAGAGATGAGAGTGCGTTTGATTAGAGATACGCTTGCAGCGCTTGAAACGGCGTCCTGTCCCTGCGCACGAATCGCCTTAAAATCGGTATTGCAACCTATTTGTCGAATGCCCCGCCCCTCCCGTAACTGCCTTCTTCCAACTTCGTGTAACCTTTTTCCTAGTCATAAAACGTTAGCAACAAGCAAAAATACTGCTTTTTTCACCATGTATGGGAGACAACCTGCATACGACTAGTCACAGGGATTCGATATAGAAGAGGCGCTAGGAACGAACAACATTGAGTGCGATCCTAGCCAGACTCACGCGCGATACGGAGCGACATGACGCGACACGCACACTTACTTAGGTGAGTTGCTGAGGCCGCCAATCCGCCGTAGGCGCTATACGTGCTCGTTTCTCCGGTGGGCTATGCGGTTCTAATTTCACATACGGCTGTTGCTGTTGTTGTTGTTGCTGCTGTTGTTGCTGTTGCTGAGGCGATGGTTTATGCTGTAGCGCTGCCGCCCATAACGACTGATCGGCAGTCGAGCGCGGAGCGACGAGTTCACAATCGGCGTCAGAAGCGGCTAGCGGATGCGGTGGCTGTAATGGTGCGGTACCGGATGAATCATACGGGAACGAGCTGGTTGTGGGGAATTCGATATGTTTCGTTGGTTCAGGACGTGGGCGGTATTGAGGATGAAGGAAGAGATTGGTGTAGAGCGGATGAATGGCAGCAGCTGGTGGTTGTGGTGCTACGGTTGGCGGTTGTTCGACGTTGTTCGAGACGGTGTGACCGTTCAGCGGAGTTGATGGTCCCGGACTGTCATCGTCAGAATCGCCTCCACCTCCATGCTTTGACTCCTTTCGTTGCAGAGCCTGAAAGAAAGTAGTCAGAAGACATGTCAAAAATGACTGGGACTGGTTCTGATTAAGTCGTTGCCCAATAGGGCAATCATATGATCCATTCTTGGGTTCTCAGTACATCCGCCCAGTACCGTACTCTTTCCAAGTAAACCCACAGCGTTACGGTAGTGGGCAAGGATGTAGAGTTAAATTTTTCGGTCACGAATGAATCATATGAGATGCTGTTTTGGCATTGGCTTAATAAGGACCTTCCAATCAGTAATCACTCATGAAGTTCAACGACCCGAATTCCCTAATCACACTTCAACCCCCTTATCTCTTTCGTCCCTGTTTAGTACCCGTACCAAAAGACCCGGAAAACTTTTTTCGGAGACATCTGCACTCAAGGGTCATGCCACTTTCGATATCTTCTGCATTAATTCGTTATCGAGCCATCGTAAACCCCTTATCTACGCCAAAGTTAGCGCACATGATCCAATTATTGCCAATAATTTATTTGAGTGCTCATAAAATGTCTGAGCAATGACGTAACAGACTCACCTCCATAATGTCCGAATTAGTGCGACTTTCATGTGGTTCACTATATTCGGTATATTTGAGCAACACTTTATCCATATCAGTGGATGCATATCTGAAAAAGAAAGCGAAATTAATTCGAAGGTTTTTCTTCTCACTATTTTTTACGATTGCTCAGAAATAACGCGCAGCCAACATTTTCTAATTGTTGATAAAAATTTTTTTTAGATTCGAGTCAGGGTCACTCCACTTTTTCGTTCTTTGATCTCTGCTCTTCAATCAGAAGAATGTGTTATAAGTTGTCCATAGGAATAAAACTTCTATGGCACCGAAAGTGACGCAAATAGGTTCGTTATTTTTTTTTTGAGAAGAAACTTTGCATAGAAGTTTCCCGAAACATCCCAGAACCGATGGCTGTCAGTGGTCTTTGTGTCACCAGATAAGGCATAGTGGTAAACAAGTTTACTTTTTACAGAAGTTTCTACTGAAAGCCGATTATCAGCTATCAGAATAGTTGTCTTTGAAAGTCTCTGGATGCGCCATTGTACGAACTTTTTTTTTTGATTTTTTGAAATTATTTCTCTTTCCCTCCAAGTCCAGCATTATCTCATGACTACACAGTCAACAAGTAGACCTATTACCCGAACTAAGCAAGAGCTGCTGGACTACTGCCATCGTTCTCCAGCTCTGCTTGCTGGCTGGCTGTCTCGTTATTTCTTTTACTATAGAGCGACAGCGACAGTTGTGCCGAAGCTGCTGACAACGGCGGATTGATCGTTCATTCGCTATCGTCCAGCATCGGTTGCTTGTGTCCCCGTCAGTCATATACAATCACTGAGCGGTCGTCGCCACTATCACTAGGCGTATGCATTGCATGTGCACGCGTGGCTGGGACGAGTTTGCACGGACGAGGGCGGGAAATTTGAAGTACAATTTACTGTCAACTAAGTATAAATTGTCAGCATCTAGAGTTTATTCTTTCTTGTTTGTACTGTTTGCTGTGCTTCAAACCACTATTACTAAGAATATACGTTGCATGTGCACGCCCCAAGGTGACGAGTTTGCACGTATGAGGGCGGAAAATTTGAACCGCAGTTTTGCACAAGTATTGCCAGACAGTATGACCTGTTCAGTGGCTAATGTGTTTTTTCCCTTGTCTGTTTTGCTTCAAATTCGTGACCTTGCACAAATGGACACACACTCACTCACAAGAAGAGGTAAAGGCTCCCAACACACAAGACCACCAACGAAATGCTTTGTAAACAATGCTTATGGTGGCTGTGAGTAGAGCGTGTGCGGTATGTTTGTGTTCTGTGTGTCCGTGTGGGTCTGTGTGTGTTAGCCTCTTGAGTAGATGGGAGAACATAATAAAATTTCGCGCAGAGAACTTGCAATCTCTTCAGTTTCTCAGTCGATCTTTGCCCCATGGCAAACAGATAGGAAGCTGGGAGAAATACTGTACGCAAAATTGCACAAAGAGAAATAGAATGATGGAGCTGAGAACTGGTCATACCATTTTAGGTCCTAAGAAAGTCTGATTGAGAAAGATCTACCAGAAAGAGGAACGCAACCATCAAAATTGGATAAATCTGTGACACACAAGAAAACAAGCTTAAAAATTATTTTGGGAGGACGCGAACTAGATAGTCTTTCCAAGCATGAATGTATGCAAAATACATGAGGAGAATTTTCAAAATATCCAGAAAAAAATGACAAAAATCTATGAAAGCGTACAAAATTCCCAAGTTTGTTTGTATCCCAGATTTTCTCGCATATGCTATGGAAAGGCAAAAACTTTTTGTGACAGCAAAAATCCGAAACAAAGCTTTCTGATAGCCGATCTGGAGCTGTTCTGAATGGAACGATTCAATGCAAGATCAACGAATGGAGATTTTTAAGAAGACTACCATAAGAAACCGTATTACACTAATCAATAAAAAATTTGTGCTTAATCGCAATCAGCAGTTCAAATCTGCGTTCTTACCGTATAAAACTACCAACCTTACAGTTTTCATCTTCAAAGTTATCGTATGACTAACCCGACAGTTATTCAACGTTGAAATTTTACCGTATTAATACCGTAACCCCAATGTCAACTATCTACAACCCCCGTTTTCATGCCAATCACTAAAAGTTCAAATCTTTGCAAAGCAAGTGCTACTACTGACAACAACCTTCTAGGTGACGTCAATTCGCTTCCGCTCATATTTTTAGCCCCTAAGCGACTTTTCCTAGCTCGATCTCCCACGTGTTTATCATCTCTGATCAGGGGGCTCTCATCGTTGAGCAGCAATCTCATGATGCTCATGTGTTATTGTACTAAACACATGCCCACCTCCACTATCGTACTAATCATCTTACATCTTGTTGTTTGTTCGTTTCGAAATTCTACGCTCACGCTCACTTGAAATTATACCTGTCCCCCACGAGCTGAGAGTTGATGCACACGAGTTTGTCTGCTCCACTCTTTGTGAGAGCGCTGGTTAAGCTGGAAACGCAGCCGATTTGCTTTGTTGATGATTAATTTATGGCAGTGCGGCTAAGCGGACGAGCATGCTGCCAGCAAGCCGAAAGAAAAGTCTGAGATTCGCTGTGAAATAAGAAGAAGACATTATGTCTAGCTTTTGCTTTGGGATTACAGGGTGCAGCTAATCTACGAAAAAAAAAAAGGAAACACAAAAATTGCAATCGCACTGACCATTAACTGATTAGCATGAAGTTAAACATGTTCACAATATACAATCTAATAGGTTTTCCGCTTAACTTTGTGTGCTTGCGGTACCGAGATTTTGCCACAATGTTTGCGCGTGAACATATACTTGCGCGTGAAATGCCGGCAACTTGCGCGTGCAGGTAACCGGCATTACAGACGCAGCTGTTTGCTCACGCGCAAATTTTACCGCAAAATCACGGCACAGCGCACATTGAGCAGAAATACAATGGACTGTAGTATTTGTGTCCTACAGTAGGAAAATAGCCGTAAAATAATAGTCTGCACCCAAAGCTAAGCAAAAACTACGGTACTCTTTTAGTCTGCAGCACATTTGCATATAAAAGATATTAGCTCATAGAATCAGATAAGGCTATCAACTTTTTCAGAACTAAATGCGACTCAAACGTGTGATTACGCACTTTTCCCTTGCATAGAACATTACATTAATTCCAAGAAACCCAACAACGTCTATTCTGGTTGCTATGAGACTTGCTAAAGGGCGCAAAGCGTGCACACGTGTTGCTGGGAACGAACTGGAAGGAGGGTGACGTCTATTTGGGTCATCGGAATTGTAGAATGGACGTGATTGCGTACTTTGAATAGCAAATATCACATTCACGCAAGTTTGCGATGAACTGGTGATGACAGCGTTACGTTAAGAAAACGACCTTTTCTGCAACTCCAGTGTACGCTTCGGGTCATTTCCTAGTCTCATAAGTGTGACTGCAGACTATGTGCATGTTGCGCGTGAAATCTCGAACTTGATCAGCTCGCGGTCATGATCTGTGAAATTTGCTCAAGTGTTCTCTCATGCCATAAAAAATAACCATAAAAGCCAAGCAGTCATCAAAGAAAGCATAACCTACAAAATTCCAAAATTCCGGATTCAACGCTTAAGGTGCGTGACATGTGCAATCGCACAAAATCAGATTGCGAGACGGCTCGGCCATAAACAGAACAGCCTCGTGATGTTTCCCTTGAATTTTTTCATCCCCTCCCGCTCTCCGCTACCCACATAAATAAATTTTCCCACATGAACAAGCTTTTTTTTCAAGCATGACATATGACGTAAATAACAACAACATGTCTAATTCCGGGGTGTTTCCGCCCATGTCCCGACCTAATCGACTTTTCCCAGTGGATGAGTGGGCGGCGGCAGTGAAGCGAACGATGTGCAGCATAGCATGACAAGCAGAACTTGAGGATAATTACAAATTAGGATGACACCCACGTTCGGGGCCAAAGCACTTAGTTAGGAGCGGGGGGTAGGGTTGCAAAAATCTCAGCGAGGTGCAGAAAATGATTAGCTTGGAGGATGAGATGATTATCCCACGCCCTTATAGTGTTTTTTAGGAGAGAACATACTAGTCGCAACATGGACAAAAAAGCAGTAAGTGTACAAGCTTCTCGATCAATATATCGATTTTCTCGCAGTATTACGGTACCGTCGACATCCACGAAGGTAAATATAATACAATTGGTGAAAATTTTTTTCGAATTAGGTCACCTACTATTACTTTACACTGACAATAGTTGATTTCACGCAAGCGTTTATTCCCGTCGAAATAATCAGTACAGTTTGTTCCAAAATAACATTCGATAAGCAATCAAAGGTACTGGCTGCCAAAGTGGTGGATAAAAAGTAAATTGACTTATCTTAAGACCCTATAATCTACTTACATGATAACTTCATGAAACTCCCCATCAGAACCCGTTGCAAGAAAATTCCAGAAATTTTCGCAAAAGACACGCAGACTTTCAAGTAAAACTTGAAACAGCAAAGCATTTGCAGCATTGCTCACGCAGTTCCTGGATTCTGGATAACTGCGAGAGAAAACATTACTGACGTCAAACATGGCCTAGCATGTGTTTAGCAAGCTTTGTTTGAGGATAAAGACGCAAGCATGACTAAAAATGTTGCAAACCAATTGATATATTGATTTTTTTGCGTAGAAAATCCAATCATAGCAGTTCACAAAAAGAATTTTAGTGATTGAATGTAGAGAGGCTTTAGCGAAGCCACTTTAGGGGCTACTGTGAACCGCTCAAGGCCGAGAGATCTACTCTAAATTCTCACCTAATACGGTGTTGGGCGAGAGGTCAAGAACGTATTCGTAATTCAACGATAATAATTTGATTCATGGCTGTAGAAATCGATTCAATCCTCTTATCCACCGTACTCAAGAACGCTGATCGGTCGGAAAGAGTACGGTATTAAGCTAGAGTTTGAAAAGGTATTTGTAATTTATTGCTACTCATTCAATTCAAGGTTTAAAGATTCAACTTTGATTCTTACATCCAATACCGTACTTGAGAATGCTGATTGGTCAGAAAGAGTACGATATTGGGCGGAAATTTGGGAAGTTTATTACTCTTTGCGAATAGACTGTGTAAACTGCAACTTGAGCATTGGCTTATATATGAAGATATAGGCATCCAGATTTGCGTGGACACTGTTATTGTTATAATCAGCTTGCGGTAGAACTACTCAGCAAAAATCGATATATCGATTGCCTATCATGTACAAATCTCCCTCTCCATCGGTATTTTCTACGTTTGGCGTTGATATTAGTTATACGATATGTGTGATTTCTCGATAAAAATGTGTGTTTTCTCCCGTATCTATATGTGTGTGTGCGTTTGTGGCGCGACTATGCAAATACCCGAACAATTCAATGCTGCGATGTTGTGAGCTCCCATTACGAACGAACGGACAAACGCCTGCCTTTGCACAGGTGTATATGGTTTGTGTGTGGGAATATGGGAACTATACGGTTATGCTTGTGCCAACAGTATTGTTCTTGGGCTACCCAGAAATATATACAGTAACGGCTTCCAAGAGAGGAAGGCTGTATCGTATACATCACATCTAATATGGCCGCTGTTGCTATGGAAAATCTGCATGGCAGAGCATTACGAGAGAAAAACGGCCTCCATCTGACAGATAGACGTGTTCTGCAGCAGGAAAAAATATTTCCTTTTCCCTCCAAAAGACGCAAGACGAGAGAATTTTCAGGTTTTCCACAAAAGTGGGGAAAATGGTAAAAAATAGCTAGTACTCCAGTCCAAAGTGTTTCAAAAGGTAATCAAGTAAATACACGCAACTCCTTGAACCTATAGTATGTTACCGTAAGACTGTGCTTGCGCTTTAGGACCGTAAGACTGAGTTTTTTCACGTGAGACTTAGCCCCTACCACGTTCCTACCCAGTACTGCTTTTTCCGCTGATGAAACACCACTTCAATTCATAAATACAATTTTTTATGGGAGGGGTGGGGGAGTAGGGAGCAGACCAAATTGATCCCAGAATAGTTGTGAAAGAATTTTTTGCAGTATTCCATCCCATATAGTTCAGCCAAGCGCTCGGTTATATTGAGCAAAGAGAATCTTAAGCTGGATGTTTGCTCAGATTTCATCTACTTTATTGCATTCTCGCCCTTCTCGTATATGAAAGTGCAAACAAATAGATTAAATCCCCAGCTTTGGGACCCCCAACTCCTCAAAAACTCTCAAATCTCCCCGGTGAGCTCATCCATCTCAGAGAATCCCAGGGAACTCTCAGCCGGCTCGATAGCGTGTGTGCGTCACACACGACACGATTACGACATTCGCTAAAGGAATTAATTCCCCCACAAAAACGGCTTCTTTAGACGTAATAAGGGGGAGGAGCGGGGGATTACGTTGAGATTTCTTCTCAGACTCATACAACTGGCGTTTTGCTTGAATTATACACAAGAAGGGTAATATATGGTCGGCAACTGATGTCATCGCCCGCGAAAACGTCGTCTAATTAGCTGCACTTTGACGCGAAAGAGCGGAGATGGTGATTAGCCATGCGCAGTTATCGCTTGCATATCTTATTTGAGATCTCTTGAGTGAAAAAATGGATTAAAAAGGTCAAAAGAGGGGGGGGGGGAGGAGGAGGGGGGGGGGGGGGGAAGGAGGGGGGGGGGGGAGGGAGACGAGTTGAAAAAAATCTCTCCATTTTGTAGTGACGGCCAATTGGATATCCACATTTTTGCACCAAGCACAGATGTATTTTTGAATTCCCGCCACAAAAATTCCATTTGCAGAGGTGAGGAGATGCAAACCAAAAAATTGAAACTTTGCAGCGAAAAATACTCCTGCGTATCGCTATGAAAGTAAAGAAATGTAAACCGAAGAAAATAGTTTAAACTCACTGAAATAGTTTATTTGTCGAATTGAAGACTATTAGTGCAATTTCACAATCGCAAAGCACGGATAACTCGTACGCTTTCTTCATTAACCCGAATTTTCGTTTAGTGAAGGTGACCTGAAACTGGCGCATTACGTTTTTTGGCAAGGTTTTGATGTTACTAGTCAACAAAAAACTGTATTGACAGTATCTCCAGCTGGATTTACAATGATGAGCATATTTAGCCATAATAAGCAAGTTGAGTCAATATGTGCCATTGTGTATAGACACACAACATAAACGTCGAATGACGTCAAATTGTTTATTTGTATGATAACTGTTTATTTGCATGATAACGGTGACAATGTCGCTGTCTACACGTTAGAATGAATGAATCAAAAATCTATTTTCATATGAAGCGAGAAAAAGTAGAGATACAAAAAGAAAAAGCAAGAACCACTCTTTTTAGAATTCACGCAAGAAATGTATACAAATAATCATATTTTTTCTGAGCTTCGCATAAAAATCTACTCCCAAAAATTTATGCAAAATAAACTGAAAAGCAATAGATTCAAAAAGAATAAACCTAAGCTTTTCTAGCAAATTCTTTCCATTTTCATAGAATAAAACAGGATTTAAAGAGCATTCCTGCATTTTCATAGGCGGAAATGCGCTCTATTCTCAACATCTGGACCAAAGTAGACGCAAATGGTTTTTCTGTTATAGCTCTATTTGGAGTGCTGTAATAATGCGATTTATCATATAAGAAGTTCCCCAAGAAAATTTTCAGAAAATCAGTACTCGACAATTTGGGTGATTTGAATTTTTGTAATAACTTTGTTGCCTGATGATAAAAAGCGCTTTACAAAAAACTAGTGTGGTGTGGTCCCGGCACGATGAACAGTCGAATTATGAAGTTCTAAAAAAGATTAGCGCCTCTCACCTGTTTTCTTAAGGAGCTGTAACTTGTAAAACGTCTGCCCAAGCCCTTCCCAGCTGAATTCCGTTGAATTTCCCAAATCTGTGCAATCACGCCTGATACACCCACAATCCATCTCCTCAACGACTGCACACGTCATCATAATCCTTTTATAGCCCAGCTGAACCTATTTTTATCCGCGATGACGCCAAAAATAGTCCCCGTTAGCATGTATTTTCGTTGCACCGCCGTGATAAATTCGTATGCTGTTGAGAGCGCGTGAGCGACGACGCGAGCGCGGGATAGAGAGAGACCGACGTCATCGCCGGGCAGCCGCAGGGCTGCCGCGCCAGCACATCGATTCGACGATATGTGTGTGTGTATGTATCTGTGTATGTATACCCCTCAGGGCTCATGCTCTCAAAGAGTTTCAGGCCATTAGGCTGCCTGTGCGAATCTGTGTTTGTGATGGGATAGGTATTAGCCGTGATTTGCGACGCTTACGGGGGCGCAACGGCGGTAAAATCAGGATCAGATCAAGATGAGAAAGATGAGTATGGCGCAGATGCCAATGACGTTAGGAAATGTAAAAAGGGTCGTAATCATGAACATAGAACCTTTACGCGGTATAAGTTGGTAAACAAATTTTTTTCGAATTCGTTTTATGCACATAGTGCAATTGCACATAATGCACCAAATCCTACAAATGCAGACGTTAAAAAACTAGCACAACGATACGCAATCTGCATTCTTTGGTGCATCCTGCTTAATTTCTTCACATTATAAAAATTTTTTTAGTTTGATATAGAAGTTGAATCTCCATGTAAGCGAATAAGGCGAGAGCGGAGAGGGGGGGGGGCGTTAATTTTTACTGTTCTTAAAGAGCAGCATCTTTTATGTGTGTTGCATAAATTTCTTTAGGTATTCCAAAACAGTATTTCAAATATGCAGTGGATCTTATTTCTTCGTAAACAAAATGCAACAGTTTCTCTCGCTCCCCGAGAATAAAAAACTTCCAACAAAATTTGCATTTCCGTCATAGAGTGTGATCAAAGTGCATACACTTTTCGAACTACCCCCGGCAACAGAACATGCTTTGTAAAAAAGTACACATTTCGATGAGCTATATAGCTACAAAACTTGTCATACGTCAGGTACGCTAATTAATTTAATCAAGTACTATACTTGGTTAATGACACTAAAGATAAAATGATTCATTTTTCATTTCTATTGATACTGAATGTCAGGTAACGCCGACTATCATTGACCGACAATACACTTGCTTGATAACGACTATTAGCCACAAATTCAAAAAGTAGAGCGAAACATGTAATTCAACGCGCAATTTTTGATTTCTTACCACTCGCGATGACGTCACGCAAGAGCTGGGCGGCAGTAGCAATTTTCACCCCCTTCAAAAAGGGCAAACGCACTGCAAACATACTGCAGAATTATTCCAAAAGAAGCCTAATAACAACAGATGACGTCTACATTGGGAAAATTCCTTGGAAGGAAGGCAAATTGAAATTGCGTGGAGAAGTTAACCATTAAAGAAAAGCTCCAGCACTAACTGGGCTGGGCTCTGCGAAACGCTAAAAAGTTAAAATAGAACTTATTTGTTTTGCTGTTCGCCAGCAAAAATGATCATGACACTGTTAAAAGGTGGCTTTTTGTAAAAGATAAAAAAAATGAATAATCACGCCGCATTCGTGAGATTGTCCCGCCCCAAAAATTTATGCGTGAAAAAGCTGTCTTTCCGACTGTTTGTCTTGTTTGTACCTCCTCAAACCTGAATGATTTGGTAAAGCATAGAAATCATTTTATTTTGTTTGAACTTGTACATTTCGATTTGCTTGACGATACTGCGTCCCTTGCCTCCCCCTCCCCCCCCCCCCAAAGAGTTTGATTTTGAGATTTTCTTTTTTGAAAAAAAGACCATAGCTTTCACTGTTCGGTCATGTCTTGCTGGCAGAAAAAAACCCGTTGAGCACATATGCTTGAGAAAGGACTATGATAAATGTAAATACCTGGGTCTAAAAAAAAACGCGGGAAATGCTCGGAGTCATAGAAGCAGAGCGAAAAGCTGGATGTCCTATATATCGAAATATAGTTAAAGGGACCAGATCTCACAATTTGGGCAATACGATAGAAAACAAGACGATCTACTAGTTCTTTAATACATTGTTACAGCCCCCAAACGATCGATTTATTGACCCGCTAAGATCGATATATTGATCCATGATCAGTTAAAATGAGCAAAGTGAATTCATTGACAGCGAATCATCCCTGTGTTTTTGCATTTTTTTATCGTGGACCCGCTGTTTATTTGTTGCTTTTCCGCATTCCTTTACTGTTTGTTGCAGATTTGGGCAAGTTAGTGCACAATTACGTCAAATAATTGTCTTTGCACTGATTGGTACTTGATTTTTGATAAACCATCACACGCAGTATGTGCGGAAATTTCGCGATCGCAATAATCATATGTAAAGCACTTTTTCTACCACATTTTGGTCCCGATGAGCTGCAGGATTAACACCAGAGAGGAAAAAAAAGCCGGAAATACGCTAGCAAAGGCAGATTGCGGCATAGACTTTGCTGAAGGGGAATCCGCTCGATATGAGTTTATGGTTGAAGAAGTTCGAGCCACAGACTAGGTCAAAAATATAAACACTATACTAATAATGATAATTAGCAAGTAATACACAGGACGTAGTCTATTTCCTGTTATTTTTAAAAAGAATACAGAAAGAAGAACTACAGAAAAAAGGTAAAAAATGAGTCTTGAGCATACTGTAAATAAGTTTCACACTATCACCATTTTATAGCACAGTTATGCGTTACGCACAGGTCAAAAAATATTGTTCAGAGTAAGTTCTGCAAAGCAGCAGTATATTCTGCGGCTGCACCAAAAGTTAATACAAATACGGATAGTGTGACTATACTCCAAGCACAATTTAGACAGTCATATTTTTCATTAAAAAAATAAAATCTCATTTCTTGATGTGAAGCTGAGCCCCTTATACAATTTACACATCTAACATTTGATCGAAAAAATACAGACGTCAGACTATGATTATCAGGAGAGTATTCAGCCACGTAATCCTGTTTCCAATCTCAGCTAAAACTGATAAGGGAAAAATTGGGATAAGTGGAGATTTTCATATGCAAAGTAAAAGATGACGTTTCTAACGATTTCTATAACTGTTTATATGTATTGGTAATATATGGAAAAATAAATTTAATGTAGCTAACATTCGTTCAATTTTGATTTATCGCTCAAATTCCCGCGCACAGTGTGCGCCGTAATTGCAGAAATTGCGCAGTCGGGGACGTGTACTGCACAATATGCGCGGTATTTCACGACTTAGGTGCTCATGAGCTTACAAATTCCAGAAAATTCATTTTTTTACTTCTTTTTGAGTATATGTTCAAAGCTATTCAAAGCTACTAGTAGAAGGGGTTCCAGCGACGGTTTGCAAAAGGTAATCGTGAGGTGGAGCGTGCCTTGTGCAAATTCACACATTATTTTATGGTTGTCAACTTTAGTTGTCAAACTGACGACCGGCACTAATTGAACTCGACTCACAAAGTATCAGCTTAGCATTGTAAAGAACCAACTATTGACTAGTCCACGAAAAAAAAACAAAGCAGACAACTGTCACAAACCTGTCGATTACGTTCATCTTGTATACGCGTAATTTGAATCTTCTTACGTCCCATGTTGTTTGAACTCGACTCGTGTGGTAGTGTGTAGCGTGTGTGTGTGTTCGAAGTAGAGAAAAAAAAATATCAGCAACGCTCTCAAGAACACAAACGCTCAGTGTGTGTTATGTAACGAGTGAGCCAGCAGAGAGGAAGCGCGAGAATGTCCAGAGGGAAACTGAAAAGTGTAAAATTGCGTCTTGTGGTCTCGTGTGCCGACACTGCACGCACAGACAGCATGCGAGCTCAGTGCCAGCAATTCACCATCGACGACGATTCGGATGGCTTTGAACATGCACGAAATGCACACGTAGTCATCACATGTATTTTTATGGAAAATGCGAGAAAAATAGATTGTTGACGTCACGGGAGAAAAATCCGAAGGGCAATGGAAAATCACATGAAGCTAACGAATGGAAACAATCATGAGCAGAAAAACGTTTATTGAATTGAAATGAAGGGATTTTATTAAATCGAGGTAAGATGTTGAGAAACGCGAAACACAAAGAGCATAGTCAATAAAAAAATTTCCATGATTCCATAAAATTGAAAATAATCTCTCGAAAAAGAAGTAAAACTAAAACTGTACTAATTTAAGGCAATTATATTACGAGTAAAGACCTCTAAAAATGTCAGAATAATTAAACTGCATTTTTTGAAAGTTCGTCCCATGTTGAGGTATTTACTGATGAACACTACAACACTCGAGAAAAAGACGAGAAAAAAGATACTTTCAGTTCACAACAATGGAAGAACACTATGGTTAGTGGTTTGTGGTCCTGCGAAGAAAGCTGATATGGTAGCAGCCGTAACGGTGGTCTCGCAGGAGAACGGTATGTGAGTAAAAAAGACAAGGGTATCAATATAGATGATTGAAGCTGCATAAACATAGACGAGCTCAGGAGGAAGCCTCATGGTGGCTTTTGCCAAGGAAAAAGAGAAATTCTGGAGTTTGTCGAGTACAAAAAGATCTGAAAGGCAGAAGAAATCACAGTCACAGATTTGCAAATCCGCAGTCTTTTAGAAAAAAGATTCCTTGGTGACTCGCACGCTAAAATCTTCAGAAAAATGATTTATCGAGGCGAGGAAAATGACCAGTTTCCGAAGGAATTCTGAGAAATAACAAGCTTAGGAGCAAAGGAGTGAGATCCGTTAGCATAAAGTAACCGTATTACAGTGGAAGAGTTAGCTCGACATGCATGGTAAGCTTGAAAGTGGTAACTTTGAAACATCAAGTGTAGAAGGGCCCACAAAAACTCGACACAGTTATGCTGGAAGTGTAGGCAATTAGAGCATAGAAAGTAGTGTAAGTAGAGTAGCGTTAAACAGGTTTCAGACGTCGAATAAAATGCTCTTGGTGTGTAGGTTTTTCCCAGTGCTAGACACTTTTCACTTGATGAAACTAGAGCACAAAGGGTCACGATGAGTGAATTTGAAAAAGACGGCTTTTGATGTGCTTGAGTGCTTCAAGTACGCAACTGCACAGAAAGTGCAGAGATTTTGTAGAAATAGGAAAAAGCCCCGCCGCTATATATGGGGCACATGTAAATAGAGAAGAGGGTAAAGGCGTGATTTGAAGCACGGGGCTTCTGAACGGGGGCACAGGCGCCGGGGCTGAGCGAGAGGAGGAAAAGAGCTGCGCCGAGCACAGCAGCAGCAGCATCCAGCAGCAACCCCGTCGACGTGCCCCGCCGCCGCGGCTGACGGGGGGGGGGGGGTTTCATGTGTGTATGTGTGTGTTGCGCTGTCTCGTGCACTCCTTCGCAATACGCAACGCCTAGCTTGTCTGCGCTGTTTGCGTCTCTGCCCCATGCACGCTCTCTCACACGCCCACCCCATGCAAATTTCTCTGCGTCTCTTGTTTAGGGATCAGCACTTCTTCTCGTCCGCGTCTTCTCGGGAAGCACACAACGAACTCTACGTCAGAATAGTCGATGTGCTGCACATTCGGGCATAGTTCGAATGCCAAAAGTTCTTCTGTTCGCGAACAATAGTATCAATGTTATATTATCTGGAGCAAAGTCAAATTTAGTGCCTAAAGTTATTTTCTGCAGATCTGCATGCACAAAATGGAGCAGCAGTACTGAAAACGTGGAAAGTTGGGAAAACGAGATTGTTTGAAAAGGAAATGAATAGAAGCATGGAAGTACATGTGAGGAGAAAAGAAAGAATTGTCTGCATTTGCACAATGCTGATACTTACATAAAGTGGACAGAATTTTAATAAATTTACTCGCAATCAATAAGAATTACTAACCTTTCACCTTTTTAAAGTAATGTTTACGCTTCCAACAAAAGGGTAGAGGAGCGAATACCCCGTCGCTCTGCGCGGACTATTGGCACATTCGCACGTGCTACTGCATACCATGTTGGGACCTGTTGGTGGTATTCGTTCCTACCCATGAGAAAATCAGAAAATGAGAAAATGAGAAAAACATGTTTGCTTTCGTACGCATAGGTAGTGCATTTGCACACATATCCTCAAACTCACTATAGAAATCGATTGCTTTACAGACAAAGCCCAGAAAATGTTTGGGAATTTTTGAAAAATTGCTGAACAGTGAATTTGGATTTTCCAAATCACATCTTTAGCAAAAATACAAGTACAACGAATTTTCATTCAAAAACTCATGAATGCTATCAGACGCGCTTTTGCACAACATTTCCAGCGTGCGTCGCTGGAAATTGACTGCTTGCTAAATAAGCTGATGTTCCCTTACAGCAACCAGAGTTTATCAAGACATGTGATATATGTGAGAAATCAAAAACAGATATGGTCGAGTCATTCGTTAGCTAGTGTAGTGCACACCGTGCGCGCTACTTGACGACATTTGAGATTAGAACCTTCATTTCCGATGATTTTTCCTTATTTTCTTGTCTCTTTTGATTTTAGTGGATATGCATGAGTTTGTATTATACATTTCTACTCTTTGTTACGTTGGAAGAGGTTTCATCTAGGAGTTTTTAGCGAGTGTGTCGTCGATTGCCGCGCATAGTGTGCAGGCACACAAATCAAGCTACAAATGACTCGAAAACAAGAGATCTTTGATGAGAAGCTATTTTTCGCCCACCAGTTTGTTTACTAAGTAAGTAAGTCAGAAAGAACGTTGTATCTTTGTAAGAAGATTCGATGAAAAGGAAACTTGCACAACAACAGATTTCTAAGCTAAAAAGCTGAAAAATGCAACGCAAAGCTAGTGAAATAGATGACTTTGCACTTTGACATCCATTGATCACGAGTTCGCTTTGTTGTATCCACACACACCACACACATACCCCCATCAGGAACTAAAGCGCTTTTCATTGGCAGTGGGCGAGGACAGAGACCTCTGTATAGGCCAATGAAAGGACGACAAATCGCGTAAATTGAATTTCAATATCAGATGTAAAGGTTATGTACTGACAAAAAGTCTTTCTGTGAAGAAGAAAGGAGAGAGTAACTGCATCCTCAGCAAAATGCACAATATTCAATGATTTAAAATTTGCTAAAGCATACAAAATTCCATTCTGAACGTTTGACAAAAGAAGTTGCAGCCTATAAGGGCAACGGGTGAGCTTCTGCGGTAAAATACGGTCAAAAGTCCCCGATTGTGAGTGAAATAGTGCATATGGCTCAAAAGAAGTACGTTCTCTAGCCTACGAAAATTTCCCGCAAAATTTACCACGATTGATTCTATGAGTAAGCAGTAGTAAGAATTCATAGCAACTCTTATTCATTGTTAGAAAATAAGCATTGCGTGAAAAAACACTTTCATCGCTCAAAATGTACGTTCCGCCCAATTTCCGAGGACGCTCCGCCCCTAAAAAGCAGATTGAGTCTTGGAGCAGCAAATCCCTACGCTGGTTCGATCCACTATGCCTATAAGAGGATGAAATGGGCTTAAAGTCCACGAGTATCTAGGCACCGCCCGCCACTTTGCACGCGCCCCGCCCATCCAAACGATCCTTAATCACTTCCTGACACGTCTACACATGGCGAAGAAATCGATGCGCATATTTAGTGTCACTGCTTTATTAGAGTAGACCTACAGTGTCATTGCTTTATTAGAGTAGACCTATACCCCGCTATAAAGCCGCAATTGCAAAATCAAAACAAAAAGGATTTTTCTAAATTTGAGTAATTTTTCAATTCATTGCACTCGAAATGGTACAAGAATGACGAAGTTTAGGTGGGCACTGTCTTTGAGCATTAGTCACAGCTGTATTTATATCAAAGCCTGTATGAACTCTCTAACAAATAACAGTATGTTGCTAATTATGGGTTTACTGTAACTTTGCCAAGTGTGCAATACATGCAAGTGCACAAAATCAATGATTACATTTGCAACGTTTTTGCCGCTACTAAGAAGAAACTCCTAAAAGGTCAACTGCTTCAGAATTGCCATTCCATACACGTTTGCCATATGTTCTGCAATTGACGTCATCTTACGTCTATTTAAAATGCGGAAATGCACTTGAATAACAGAATCTTAAAGAGGAATTTATTGAGCCCGAAGTGGTGTTTTAAAAAGAGGGAGATATTTTGCTTACGTAAGCAAAGGATATGGAAAGTTATGTAATAAATTTCCATATAAAGTTGGAGAGAACGTCAAACTGTCATCAATCAAGTTTGCTCTTCTGTTTAAAAACTAGTGAATCAATAATCTCAAAGATGCTAGATGTTGCATTCGCTTGACCCGCTCGGTTTCCCGCTATCTGATTATTTTTGAATGCACCTTAGGATTCTTTATACAGTAGACCTCAAAAATTCTTCACTCAATGGTTACTATGGATGATAGGACGATACTGTTATATTTATTTTATCATTGCTTAAATTTACTGGAGTCATTTAGTGGTTGCCAAAAAAATTGAGGACTTTACCAGCGATATAATTGCCTCTATGCAGTGGAAGAGCTATTTTGTACCAGGATGTTAGCCAGAGGACCAGTTCTCGTAACAAGCATAATGAGTGCTCACTTTTTATGAAAAGAAGAGCGTACGGTACATTCACAGTACATGCATCACAGAACATCTCAATAAATATCATCCTTAATAAGGTCGACAGGCGGGGATGTCAACCTTATCAGCAGAAAAATAAAAATAGCCGCCCTGTTCAATAGATCATAACATTTTAGTTAAATTGATGCAATTGTGCCAGTTTAAATAGAATTACGCAATAAATCACAAAATGCAAACAGCGGTCCCTGATTTGATACTTTCTTATGCAAATGGAGCGTCTATTTTTTACGTTTGCGATGTGTGAACAA